GAACTCAGAATGATGAGATCATCACCTGAGCTGAAATCAAGAGTCAGACACTTAACCAACTGAGCCACCCAGGCACCCCTTAATTCAGTTAAATAGTTATAGCTTATCTCTAAACAGTATCAGTATTACAAATATGTCAAGGAAATATATACATAACAATTTTTGCTCATGTTAAGAACCTACTGTTACCAAGAATACAGAATATTTTTTAAGTGCCACAATTACACAGCTTATGAGACTCATATATATTTTTTATTTGAGTAGTTATAATCATATTGGGTCATACATAATGGTTATATTAAATATTACATAGTTGACACATAGATATTTTGCTAAGTGACCATACAAATATCTCTTACCAAAATTCTGTAATTAGTATTCAATTTACAAATATTCAATTAATTAATGACTTGTCTATATGAATAAGACATCCAGTGCCTATTATGACAGAGATGACTTTAAGATAACCTACTTCAAAAGCCTGAGGACCATAGTAGCCTACTATAAAAAGTTGGAAGTCCTCAGATGAAACTTGAATCATAAATTCAGCCTGAAGCTGCCCTGTGATGTACAGTAGCCACTAGCCACATGTGACAATTTAAGTTTAAATTAATTAAAATTAAATAAAATGTAAAATTCAGTTTCTCAGTTTTACTAGCCACATGTCAAATGCTCAAGGCCACATGTGGCTGGTCTCTACTATATTGGACAGTGCAGCTACAGAACCTTACAATTGGACAACACTGGACTAACAAATCATTGCCATATTTTGTTCCGTTAATGAACAAACACTTTCATGGATTCTTTTGTCATCTCAGCCACTGAAGCATGCCAAAACTATCATCATAAAAACCTCTCAGGTCACACTGCAGAATTTTGGTGGTAAGGCATGGAATTCTATGAAGGATTAAGTCAGCTGTCACTGAAGTGGAATATCCAGCAAAGATATGCAGTATGGATCTCAAAGTTCCAAAACATTTCTAATAGCTTCTACAGCTCAGACTTAGCCCCAAAATAGCCAGAAAAAAGAGAAGACTCTACTTCAGCTACAGACCATTCCAGGCCAAGTTTAATACACTTGTTTCTATGAAGAAAAAAATGAATTCCAATTAACTGACTTATCAAAGACTGTTTAGAAAATGATTCATTCACTGTTGGGAGACTGCTTATATAAATAATTTTAATTCCTATTTCACTATTTTTTGTTTCAGCTTTTATATATCCAAAATTAAGCTATTATCTTAAATAATTTTTTCTACAAATTTAAAAAAATCAGTAAAAATGTAGGTCTACATTCTTAATTGAAAAATTTGCTTTTAGCCACTGATAGCTGTCACCTGATGCAATGTCACTGTGTTGAATGAAAGTAAGGCATTTGATCTGGTACATAAGCACACAGTATGACACAGGTGTGCTATGTACTAGATATAGTTCAATTTACTTTCAGATAAAAGATTAATTCCACAAACCCCAACTGTAGAGTCTGCACATTAAAAAAGAGCATTAGGCTAAAAGCCAGAAGAGGCAAGTTATAGCCCCCAGCACTACTACAACCTGCAGTCAAATCACCTTGTAATTTTGGGTCTCAGTTCTTAGTTCAACTAATAATCTCTATGGCTCAATTCAGCTCTCTACTCTGCTGTATACTGTGTACTTTAAACATTTATTAACAGTAAACAGTAAAACATGGTGAAGAATGAATGCCACATTCAAATTCTGACTCAACCATTTATTATCTGCACAACCTTGGGCAAATTACTCTCTGTGCCTTGCTTTACTTTATACATGCAACTTATTTCATGAAGTTACAGTGAAGATCAAATTAGATAACACACATAAAGTACAAAGCTCTCTGCCTGGCACACAGAAATCATTCAATAAATCTTAACCATTTTTAACTCTTGGCTTAATCACATTCTGAAAAACTCTAAGAACAGATTACAATTTTGTTATTACACTAGAATTTTCAAGATATCAGCTGAGCATTTAGAAATTATTTTGTTTTTAGATCTTTATTACATTATTTCTTTCACACGATGAAATGTTAGCTTTATAAGTATACCTTCTTAGAATGCAGCTGTCAAATCTATCCTACCATATTTTCATCTTTTTAAGAAAGAAACATTTATAAACTAGTGAAAACACACATAACAATTTTAAACCCTCATATAAACATAACACACATACCTACAATTCATCAATACTGTTAAAATATATACTACCTGTCTCATAGGTTAAAACAGTATCTAATTAAAAAATACCAACATATAAAAATTAACATTACGATAAAATACCTGATATCATATCCATTAAAAAACACTTTCATTTTACATGCAACACTGTATTTTAATTTCTAAAAAAAAAAATCATTTTAGGGGCGCCTGGGTGGCGCAGTCGGTTAAGCGTCCGACTTCAGCCAGGTCACGATCTCGCGGTCCGTGAGTTCGAGCCCGGCGTCGGGCTCTGGGCTGATGGCTCGGAGCCTGGAGCCTGTTTCCGATTCTGTGTCTCCCTCTCTCTCTGCCCCTCCCCCGTTCATGCTCTGTCTCTCTCTGTCCCAAAAATAAATAAAAAAAGTTGAAAAAAAAATTAAAAAAAAAAAATCATTTTAAAAATGAGTAAGGGGCACCTGGCGGCTCAGTCAGTTACACATCTGGCTTCGGCTTAGGTCATGATCTCGTGGTGAGTTCGAGCCCCACCTGCGTGGGGTACTCTGCCTCTCTGCTCCCCACCTCCCACACTCTCAAAAGCAAAGAAACAAACAAACAAACAGTAAAACCCTTAAAAAAAAAAATGAGTAGGTACCAAGTTAAATAAAAAAAAGAATGTGAGGAATACGGTGAATGGTTAAGTTTTCTATCTCCCCAGGCCCCAAAAGTCAGTTATTCAATAAAATAACCCGAGAAACCACATCATAAAATTAATGCTTTCTTCTCATCATAAAAGTAATGTTTTAATAGGGAGTTTGCATTCCTAATCAAGAAATTAGCAACAGTAAAACCAGATAGAATTAACATAAAAGGGAAAATACAAAACCAAAATATAATGATTTTAAATAATGAAAATTTGTATTCAAAATAAGTACAGCATATATATGTTCAACCAACTCATAAATTTTGTCTAAGATTAACAAGCTAGCTGTAATCAAAACCACACTGAGATATCACCTCACGCCAGTCAGAGCGGCTAAAATGAACAAATCAGGAGACTATAGATGCTGGAGAGGATGTGGAG